TCACGTTGAAGATTACAAAGTAATGATTTCTTCTTAACATAATCTAATATTTCTGGTGCTTGATAATGTTCTATTTGATCACATAAATTATTATGTTTTTTAGCAGCACGAGATTGTTCAGAACTAGCTTTAATTATTTCTTGTTCAGTAAATTTATATAAAATATCTTGTTTATTAATACGTTGTTGAATATCAATTAAATCTATTGTATTTGTATTTAAACTAACTTTATAATCATTAATTAATTTTGAAACTTTTGCAACTTTTCGTTTAAGTAAAACAAGTTCAATATTTTTCTCATCAATTTTATCTAAATATTGTTTATTTTCCATTTCTAATTGATTAAAATCTACTTCATGTAAACTTTCTCCCATTTCTTCTTGTTGTTTTAATTGTGCTTCTAAACGTATAATTTGTCTTTTTAAACCTGATGAACGACTACGTAATTTATTTGTTAATGATTCACGTGCTTGAAGATGTTCATGAAAATAACGATTAATTTTTTCACCGATTAATTTATGTGTACGTTTATCAATTGATGAATCTTTTATTTTAAGAAATTCTGTTATAGCTAATTCAAAATCTGATTGTTCAATATTAATCCATTCAACATCAGACTGAATAAAAAAATTGTTGATTCATTTCAAGAACATACATACACACAAGAAAAAAAAAAGCAGAAATGAAATCAAACCTCAAGTTGATCGGTTTTCTTTTCATTGATTGTTTCACGACGCATTTTTTCAATTTTTATTTGTTCATATTCCGACATAATAATAGCAAGTTTTTGTTCAAGTGTTAAAAGTATACGAAAATCACTTTGAGTACTTCGTGATTTTGATTGTTTACGTGTTACACGATCATTTCGATTTGTTAAACTTGTATTTATTAAATCTTGATAGGAACCAGTTGGTGTTGTTGCTTGAGATGAACTAACTGGCGGTATTGATGGTGAAACATGAGAAATAGTTGATTCAGCTTTTTTTCTTTCCAACGCTGTTTCAAATAAAGAATTTTCAAATTTTAATTCAACTATTTCACGTCTAAAGAAAAAAAAATTCATGAGTTATATATGTTTATCAATTTTTTGTGATTATGAAATAGTTTAATTAATCTATCTAGTTAAGTATAATGAGTAGAGAGAATTTTGATATAATTACTCGATTTTTTCTAAACGCTGTTGAAATTCAAGCTCATCCGTATCATCAAACGTAGTACCACTGCGACGATGAACTGGAGATGTTTCATTAACAAGTGACTTTGTTTCAATCATGTTGTTTTTCTACCTATTTACAAGAGTAAATTGAAGTTAAAGAACAATTGATCAAATTGCTGACAGAAAAATTGTTACTATCGGTGATAGCCTCTTTTCAAAAACAATTACAAGTATAGAAGAGAGCAGATGTCGTCAACAATATTAAAAACAATTAATCAATACAGCTTTAAACAATTAGATATGTATTTATTATATTCAGTATGAGCCTTCTCGAACACTTTATCCATTAAGCTAATCGTTTACAATAACATTCTAGTTCAAAACAGTAAATAGAATATGTATTAGGATCAATTTTTTTCTGATCCTGATAGTTTTGGTGGTAGTTTGAAGGTCAAAAACAATCGTATTAGTAAAAAGTTTGAAATAGTTGTGTATTACTATTCATAAATGTTGTGTCATCCATTTTGATGTTGCAAATCAGTTTTGTCATTAACTTGTTTATATACTGTAATGTTGTTTTCAATAAACTTGTAGAAATATTAATTCATCTATGATCAATGCTATTCATAGTTTACAACATAATTCGAATCTAACATTTATTATTTCTAGAGAAACTAATATGAAAAAAGTCTATGAAATTTCATAGCAATTGATCAGATGAATAAATTGTTGTTAAAAACAATTATGTCAATCAATAGAAAATTCATAGAGTTAGTATGATGTTTTTCAATCATATAAGATTAAGAAATCAAAGAAAGAGAGCGCATAAAAACACATTTCAGTTTGTTTTGATTTTCAAGGTCCAAACAAAGTGAATTATATGTATAGAATGAAAGACCATGAACTTCCAATCATTTTCATGTTAAATTTGAGATATTTTTGGTTAGTTTATACGTGTAAACAATGTTTACCTTCACGGCTTATTGAATGGAGCAGTTAATCATTGATACTATAACTAACAATGTGAGCGTTCGTTTGAAAGAAAAGAAGTAGAGTTGAAAATTATTTTGATAACTCATCCATCGAAAATGAATCTCCATTTATTTGCATTGGGGATCTGTATCTTGAACATGCATTCCATTTCGATGCACATCTTAACAACAAGTATAATTAAATTTTTAGCAGCTGCTTCTACGCTCGCCTACTTTCTTATATGTTTGCTGAGCGGTCGTACCTTTTTCATACCACCAACTGTTAAATCCTATTGGTAGGACGTCTTAGAAACGAATGCACATCAAACGCTTAAAGCTAAGAGAAGAAATTTAATCGTTGATAGATTCGCTCTTTTGAAGATGCCGTTCGTTTTATTACTTCATATTAATACTTATTAAGTACATCGTAATTGATGTTGATTAAAAATTATCATAATAGAAAATTGATCTAACCTAAAACTTAGTGAATTTCACTATGACGAGCATTATATTCAAAGTCTTTGTAAACCTGAATTTGTAAAAATTTTTAATTGCAAAATAATTTAAGATTGAAATGAGCACTCTATAAGTAAATATTTTATGTAATTACAATTTGTATTTTTCTTTCTATAGAATTAAATCGATAAATTTATTTTATTTTTCTACATGATTCTGATGCTCGATTTATAGTCAAGATATATATGAAAAATTAAAATTTCTATGAAATCCAATTGAGCTGATGATATTTAATTTACCAATTCAAAATTTCTTTCTTTTTTCATTTAATTATCTAAATAAATCTAAAAAGATTTGAATCGATAATTAAACAAATTATTTTTATTTAAACAAACAGATTAAACAAATAATTAAATATTCTGATGTTCATTATCCAAAGAAGAAAGTTGTTGTTTAACAGCATTTGTAATAAGAATAATAGCTTGATCAATTTCATCATCAGTTGTCATATAACTTGTACTTAGTCGAATTGTGCTGCGTGCTGATTTATAGGAAAGACCTTTGAATAGAAAAAAGAGAAAACAAAAAAAATCAGATTTAAAGAATTTCTTTTCCGAACTGTTTTATATATTTTTTATTTAGATCATTATCAATTGTTCTATAATAGATTAAAAACTTCAACAAGTATTCATTTATATCGATTATTTTTTTCATATTTTAGTTTGTTTAAATATCTTCTAGTGATTGATTGATTCAAAAGAGTTTTTTTTTAAAGATTTCGATAAATCAAAAAGAGTATTGAAAATAATAGAGATCAAATTCTATAGAAAAAAGAAAAGCTTACCAATCGCTTGAAGTGTTGATGATATAATTTGATGTTGATTATCTTCATGACAAGCACTACCTGTTGAAAATGCTAATCTATCACTTAATTGATTAACTAATTGTTTAGCATTGATTCCACGAAAAGTTAAATTTAATGTATTTGGTAAACATTGTTCATTTCCATTACGAATAATAAGATTTTCATCATTCTGATTAAATTGTTTGATTAATCCTTGATAAAGTCTATCACGTGTTCGTTTCATTTGTTCAATTCTTTTATTTAATGAATATTTATTTGATATTAATTGACAAGCTCTTCCTAAACCAATAATAGCTAAAACATTTTCAGTACCTGGTCTAAGACCTTGTTCATGTTGTGCACCATAAAGAATTGGTTCTAATTTTATTCCTTGACGAATATAAAGAGCACCAATACCTTTCGGTCCATGAAACTTATGTGAACATATGGTCAATAAATCAACATCAAGACATGAGACATCTATTGGAACTTTTCCCATTGATTGTGATGCATCACTATGAATAATAAGATCCGATGATCCATATTCACGACATAAATTAACTATTTCTTCGATCGGTTGAATTGAACCTGTGAATAATCAATTTTTAAAATAAATTTTAAAATAAAAAAAAAAAAAGAATAAAAACAAACCAATTTCATTATTACTATGCATTATAGTAACAAGTTTTGTTTCAGGTTTTAATAATTGACGAAAATGTTCAAGATCAATAATTCCATTGGAATCAACTTGAACAAAAGATACTTGAATATTTTTATTAGAATTTTGTAAATATTTAAGAATATTTACAATAGATGGATGTTCAAATGGACTTGTTATAATATGTTGTAATTTATTGAGATTAGGTTTAAGAATTCCATGAATAGCTAAATTATTTGATTCAGTACCGCCACTTGTAAATATAATTTCATTTGAATATGAAGCATTAATTGAACTTCTAACTTGTTCTCTTGCTTCATCAATTAAATAACGAGCTTGAATTCCAAGAAAATGTGAAGAACTTGGATTACCGAATGAATTTGTACATTTTAAATGATTAATCATTGATTCAATAACTGATTTATCTTCACAAGTTGTTGCATTATTATCTAAGTATATCATATGAGACATATCAGTATGGTTATTATGTAAACCATTATCGATTGTGAAAGACGTCATGTGCTTTTTACTGAATTGAATGTTTGTCGTTGTAGTGTGAATAGTAATAGTTGTAATAATAATGACGCATTTCTGCGTTTTTTCCTTTCCTTTTCTTTTCAACGAATGATGACGTGGCAAAAATACAATGAAAGTAATTAACATAAACTAGCTTCTTCTTTTTTTCTCTTTAGAATTTGTAGTGTTTTTTATTATTATAAATTTTACCTTAAAAAAAAACCAAAAAAAAATTTTTATCTAATGACAAACTAGTTTAAGGTTGTGATTATGAAAATTATGGTTTTCTCTGACAAAATA